AAAAAAAAAAAAAAAGCAAAAGAAATTGGACATCACCTCATTACCAAATGCAAATCATTCTGGTGCATTGCTGAGGATAAAACATGATTTGGGGGGTGGGGGACAGTCTGTTATGGAAGGAACACTGAATTAGGAGTCAGAGACCTGGGTTCTAGGATTTGATCTCCTGCTCATTTCCTGTGGCCCTTGGAAAGGTTATGTAACCCTACTGAGCCTCTGGTTTTTCAAATATAAAAACACTTGCTGACCAAGCACAGTGGCTCAATGCCTATAATCCCAGCACTTAGGAAGGCTGAGGCGGGAGGATTGCTTGAGCCCAGGAATTTGAGAATAGCCTGGGCAACAGAGAGAGACCCCCATCTCTACAAAAACTTTTAAAAAATTAGCCAGGCATGGTAGCATGCCTGTAGTCCCAACTGTTTGGAAGGCTGAGGTGGAAGGATTGCTCAAGCCCGGAAGGTCGAGGCTGCAGTGAACCAAGATCACGCCACTACACTCCAGCCTAGGCAACAGAGCAAGATCCTGTCTCAAAACAAAACAAAAAAGCAAAAAACACTTGCCTGCAGAGACAGGGTTATTGTGGAATCACATAAGGTAGTGAGTGTAAAAGCACTTTGGAAATTATAAGCTGTTAATACAAATATAAGTATGAAAATAATTTCAACTGTGGCTTTAAGAAAACAGTACTATAAAAGAAATTGTCTTCTGTGGTTAAGTCTTTCTCATACTTTGTTTTCAGTTCTTCAGAATTTACTCAGAAAAACATCATTTTAATCAAGGGCCATTTTATGAAGTGTCTTTTGGTACAAAGCACTCTGCAAAGTACACCCCAGAATACAGAGGTGAATAGAATACCTACAGTCCTGCCATTAAATCAACTGCCCTCTGAGGTGAACTTGTATACTTTTTATTGATTGATTTTGTTTTCAAGATAGTTACAAGTTTATTCAGAGGTTTTATAGGAAAAACAGCCTTTTTAGTCTTTGAGAAAAATAAATAGCTCTTTTATATGTGACAGTATTGATCTACAAAATGAAAACTAGTAAGAGTTTAGTTAGCATATGCTGCATGTGTTACATTAATAATCACTACTGCCTCGGGGTTTAAAATCTAAAACAATAGCAATGGAAAAGCCCAAGAAGTGTCTTTGTGTCTATTTATATCTTACAATGAATTGAAACACCATGGGACTTTTAGATGGTTGG